TTTCTTCATAAACCATCCAAAAGCCTATAATCGAGTTAATTTATAAACACAAAGACGTTATTGGATAGTTCTTTGAGCATTTTCATTAATTCATTTTTCAAAAAATAATAATAACTAGGAAAGAATCCCGCGTTGCGGGTGTTGGAGTTGCGAGGGTATTTCATAGACTATTATAAAAAACAGAAAATAACAACAAACTTTACAATATTTTACATATATTAGCTCTAATTTTTCCCATGTTGCTATAAGAAAATAAAATATAATGTTAAATGGTGGTAATTTTACAAAGAATCAAATTACAATGTTCTATATGCTATACCCGGTATTTCTAAAAATACAATGCTATATGTTGGTAGATTTTGACAAAAAAAAAATTAAAAATTAAAAAAAAAAACTGAATACGTACTCTTCCCAATCTAAACTTTTTATTAATAGCAGCAACCGTACAGACGATTATTTCTTACATATTTATACTAATTTAATTATTAATATTAAAAAACACAACGATTCAGACTCCATGTACTAACTAACAGTTTTAGCTTATACATTAACACTTCACTTTAAGCTAACCACGCTCCATTCCAAGTTTACCCTTTAATTGATTGAAAGTTTCCACTTGTCATGCCTTATTGTCATATAAAAAAAAAATCAAAACAGTAAAAAGACCAAAAGGAAATCATACAAAACGAACTTAAAAATGAAGCACGACAATATTATATTCAATAGTAGATGATGACTCATTACGAAAAGCGGCAATACCACAACATACATTTCCCGAAACTGATTCCAGATTGGGTTTGTACCACAAACCTGTAGAGTGCTACCATTGAACTTCACCCGTTTTCCTCTCTCCTCTTCCGCCACTAACTACCACCACCATCTTCCAACACCATTACCACCAGAAAAAAGCTTCCACCATGGCACTATCACCCCCTCCTCCTTATCCTTTTGCTTCTCCCTCATAAAAGTCAGACAGGTTACCATCAACAATCTCCGGTTTTTAGCAAAATACCCTAAATGCCCTTTTAAAACAGTCATAGAATATGTGTATATACCTCTTTCAACGTGAGTACTGTGTATAATGAGGAAAAATTAAGATTTCTGTGCTGCATTTGTTCCATAAGGTATCCTTTAAGCTTTAAAGCTCCAACTCCCATACTTACCACATCCACTTTGTGCATAATCTTACCATTTAAAACTGAAAAACGTAAGATTAAAACATTATAATGTGGAAAGTAAGTAATGAGATCGGATATATGAAGAACACCTGCTATACATTGTTGCAAAAAAATGGCGAAGCCTAGAGTACACTGGAGACTCAATGTTTCCAAATTCCTACACATACACATACAGACACAGATACAATCCATCTTTTAGAATATCAAAGAATGGAAGTAGATTCTTTTATTTACCATCTAAAAAACAAGAAAATAGATTGGAAAATCCAAAGTCATCAAATCAAATGCTATTGCAGTTGGTTACCATAAATGTTGATGCCCGCCCGGATGGAGAACCGTATTTGCTCCAACCAAGTTTGCAATAGCCAGAACCACCTTTTATGAGGATACATAAGAATAAGAAACTTAATAGTTTAGAATCAATATCAAGGAACAAACAGAATTCAACTAAAATAGTCATAATTAATAGTAGTTTAGGTTGAAGCATACACACCATCAATGATAATAGCTCCAGGAACCTGAGCTCGTTGCCCATAAATTTGCATAAATGATTGCATCTGAGAAGGATAACTTCTGCAGCAAAAATGAGAATTGAATTAATTAAACAGTTTATTTGACATTTGAATGTAATACCTTATTGCAATTTCAGCACACATATTTTCTCAATACAATTACATTTAAGAGGGATATCCCTAGGAATAACTTGTAACACGTAGCATATGAGAATTTTAATGTGAAAAATCCTTCTGTAATGAAATCATACAGTGCAAAAATTCATAAATAGCGAAAAAATGTACCTACACTTCTAAGAATTCAGATTTATTTGCAGAATTTGGATGAAATCTTGGTTGATGAGCTCCAAATGTTGTAAATCTATATGATTTCTCTTGAAAGTTGAAACTATAAACTAAAAGCACAGAGTGATGATTGAGTTAGATGAAGGTAGAAAAAGTCAGAAGTTTATAACTAAAATCACTGAAAAACTCCACATATTTCCTTTCTACCTCCAATCATCATATCCATTCCTCCACCACCAACACCAGCACCGCCATCATTGGTAGCAGCCTTACAACCTGTAGAGCCGGAACGACTGGACATCGCAGCCACCCTTATGGTGAAATCACTACTAGAAAAAGGTGGAGTTTCCTACAAAAATTTCCTAGGACCAAAAATTTCTCGCTACTTCCTACGCATTACCGATGAATTTCCGAGGAAAACGTCTTTCTGGCATTTCCTTAGAAGTTCGTCGGTAATAAGTAGGAAATACTGAGGAAATTTTCTTCCTCGGAAATCCCTCGGAAGTTCCTACGCTTTTCCTAGAAAATAAATATATATTCAACGTTCCTAGGTAGTTCCTCAGTAGTTTTTTTATTACCATTTTATTATTATAAACAATCCATATCATTTTTTTCAAGTATGCCAAAGAGCTTCACATTTACGTTATAAGTGTTTCGCTTAAGTGGTTCCTAGGAAGTTTCTCAGAACTTCCGAGGGATTTCCTAGGAAATTTCGAACCAATGCCTCCCACCAAACATGTGAAACATTTACCAATTGTCCTAGAAAGACCCTTAGAAGTTCCTACACATTTCCTACGAAATAAATATATATTTAAAGTTCCTAGGAAGTCTCTCAGAAGTTTCTACGCTTTTCCTAGGAAATAAATATATATTAAACGTACTTAGGTAGCTCCTTGGTAGTTTTTTTATTACCATTTTAATATTAAACAAATCATATCATTTTTTAGTATGCCAAAGAGCTTCACATTTACTTCGAAGTGTTTCGCTTAAGTGGTTCCTAGGAAGTTTCTCGGAAGTTCCTACGTTTTTCCTAGGAAACAAAGAAAAGTTTAATTCTTATTATCATATATTATTAATTATTATCATAAACATTCTTCTTATTATTATTATTACTATTATTGTTATTGTTATTATTAACAAGATTATTCTTTACATTATATATATATATATATATATATATATATATATATATATATATATATATATATACTATTATAGTTTAATTATATGATATTGTTTTGGTTTTTTGTAACACCCAGTTCCAGGTATGCATTTAATTTGAGTCAACTTCATATTTTACTCTTGGACTCAACGAGTTGGAGGCCAACTCGTTGAGTAGGATCGACTCCGGGTCGGGGAACTAAGTGACCTACTCGACGAGTCGAAAGACCGACTCGGCGAGTAGGAGTTGTTTGATGGAAACCCTAATTTAAAGGGTTGTCTCCCTATTTAAAGAACTTAACACCCTGGTGGCCTCCCTTATCACTCCCTCAACGTCCAGAAAACCGTAACTCGCCACCTTGAGCCTTGTGAGTGTTTGAGTGCCATTTTTGAGTAATCTTGTGTAATTTGAAGCTGTGGGAAGGGAGGAAGAAGAGGACTTCAAGAGAAGATTGTAGATCCAAGAACAACATGAGTTTCTCTTCACTTTCTGGTAATCAAGCTTCATACTTGACTTGTAGTTTCTTAGATCTCCTTGTGGTCATTTTTATGAAGTTTTGGGTCCAAGAAACTTGATCCTTGGGACTTGGACGTCCCAAGTCGATTTACACTCAGATCTGGAACCTTGGAGGGTCCTCATGGCATAAAGGTGCCATCTTTATGGCCATGAGAACCCCAAGTATGAAATAAACCCCAAGTATATAACTTGTTAAATAAAAATAATTCATGTATAATGAAGTTGAAAAGATATAGAAAAAAAATAACGACGTTTGAACATAAAAAAATGAAAAACATATTGTGTTCCTAGGAAATCGCTTGGAAATGCGTATGAAACACCGAGGGATTTCCAACGCAATACCAAATTTCTCACTAATCCCTTGGAAGTATGTAGGGATTTCCTAGGACCAAAACTCGTTATTTTTGTTTTTTTAGGTTTTAAACATTTTTTTTTCGTTCCATAATTTTGTACAACTTTGTTATACATTAAATACTTTTATCTTACAAATTTATACATATTATATGCATACACAACCACACATGTGTACACATACATATAGATTTACAATGATAAACAAATGTTTTATGTAAATGAGTTCTGATGGAGAGCACACATGTATGTATGTATATGTCATGTATAAATTGATCAAATAAAAGTAATTCATGTATAATGAAGTCGAACAAAATATAGAACGAAAAAACATCGTTTGAACATCAAAAAGTGAAAAACGAATTATGTTACTAGGAAATCTCTTGGAAATATGTAGGAAATACCGAGGGACTTCCTACACAATACAAAATTTGTCATTAATTCATTGGAAATGCGTAGTTATTTCCAAGGAATTTCCTAGGAACAAAACCCGTTTTTTATTTTTTCAAGGTTCAAACGTTGTTTTTTTGGTTTCATATTTCGTACAACTCAGTTATACAATAAATACTTTTATCGTACCAAGTTATACATATTATACACATACACATACATATAGATTTATAATGGTAAACAAATATTTTGAGTAATGGGTTCTGATGGTGTACACGCATGTATCTATGTATATATCATGTATAACTTGTTGAAATAAAAGTAATTCATGTATAATAACATTGAAAAAATATAGAACGAAAAAACGACGTTTGAACATAAAAAAATGAAAAACGGATTATGTTCTTAGGAAATCACTTGGAAATCCCTAGGAAATACCGAGGGATTTCCTACACAACATAAATTTTGTCACTAATCCCTTGGAAATACGTAGGCGTTTCCAAGAGATTTCCTAGGACCAAACTCGTTTTTTTGTTTTTTCAGGATTTAAACGTTGTTTTTTGTTCCATATTTTGTACATGTTTGTTATACATTAAATACTTTTATCTTACTCAAAGTGATATTAAATACATACATACATTTTTCACCTTTATAATTTATTACTCAAAGCATTCATTTTTTATTCAATATTTATATTTGCGTGTGTGTGTGGATAATAAGTATAACTTGGTAAGCTAAAAGTATTTTGTGTATACCAAAGTTGTACATAAAAGGAAACTATAAAAAATGGCATTTGAACCCTGAAAGATAAAAAAATAAATTATGTTCCTAGGAAATCCCTCGTAAGTTCTTATATATTTCCGAGGAAATTGAATATTATTTGTTATTTTTCTTTGAACACATATTTGGATATGAAATTATTATTATTATTATTATTATTATTATTATTAATAAGAACATTGTTGTTAATAACAAAAACTATAATAATAATAGTAAATATGGAAATATATAGTTTTTTTTTGGTTTGGTCCTCGGAAACGCGTCGGAACTTCCGAGGAAGTTCCGAGGAAATGAATATATATAAACATATGATCTGATTTTTAGGTTTTGTCTCTTTCTTTCTTCTTTGAGACGCCGACACAAGACAATCGGAAAATCGAAATCAACGGCGTCAGTTCTTCACGACTTCATGCTTCTGACTCCCGGCTTGCGGCTTCACTTCTTCGTCTTCACAAACTCTCTAGGAATCGAACGACGACCGAAGTCTGAAATCGGGACCATCGTGCCTCTCTCTAGCTATCGAACGACGGAAACCTGTAATCGACCATCGCCTTCACCCTCTGTTCCGTTTCGCCTGCTCCGTCCGCCTGCTGTCGTCTGACTGCCGACGACCTGATTTCAGATCCACAGCTCCACCTTTGGTAATCTAGACTTCTAATTTCTGCTTGGTATATGTTTTTAACAATCCATTTAGACTTCCGATTTTTGTTGTTGTTGATATGCAATGTGTATCATATTTTTGATTGGTCTATGTTTTTTTTTTTGTAATCTACACTACTGAAAGAGGGTGTTTAGTTGACAATATGATGTTCTGGTTTGATGTTGTTGCTGAATTCGGATTCCTTTGCTGATTTTCCGTCTCTCTTCGTTCTCCTCTCTTGTTTCTCAGGAAAGTAGCAATTCCTCAGTGTTGTTTCTTTCGTTTTTGCTTAGATATTTTAGGTTTGACAAGCATTATATACTCTTAAAGATCATTGTTTTTAAAGAAAATTTCAAAAGTTTTACCTGCGATAGTTTAACACATTTGAGATAGTAGGATTTTTGTACATTTTAGGTTTCAAATTCCTTTAGTTCCTATCATTTTCGATTATTTTTTTTGGTGGGGGAGGGGGAAGAAGATCAAATTTATACAATAAAGAGGGAGAGAAAGAAATTTAATTAAAACCAACATCATGTACTGTTTTCTTGCATGTGTACTATTTTCCCAATGTATATTATTTCACAATTTCTAGTTTAAGATCTTTGTTAAGGAAAACAAGTTATAAAGTCAAAGAGAATAATTAGCATAGCATGTCATTATTGGATCTTGAATTCATAATCACTCAAAACAAGGAAGTAATGTCATCAATCATTGATAACCTTCAAGTTAATATACTTATCTATTTACAAGTGGCTACATTCAATTGATATTTGCTTATGAGAGAACACTGATTAAGCTTTAAGCATAAGTGTATAACCTAACCTTCTGATTTACTTATTGTGTTAACACTTATATATATATATATATATATATATATATTATATATATCTATATATATATATATATATATATATAAGTAAACAAACTGTAGTATATATATAAACAAACTGTAGTACTAGAGATATTAACTGTTGGTAGATTACACATTAGAACTATATTAATCTCACATTTTATTTGTATTTGTGTAAATACAACCAATAAAATAGGTTTATTATAAGTAAAAGTAAGAAAGAGGAGGCATGAAAGACATGAGTATCTTTTTAAAGAAAGAAGTAAGAGGCATGAAAGACTTAGTTTAGGGTGTAGATCTGATGCTATATAATATATAAAAATGTTAATATATATTGTGTTACTTTTTTTGTGTTTACTAATGTATGTATAAATGTATTAATGTTTCTTTTAACATTTGTTTAGGTTCGGGAGTTGGAACATCGTCATGCCGAAATTGAAAGAAGGAAATTGTCGAATTTATGAGACGACCTGACTGTAATAACCCTCCCGACAATCCATCCAATGCTCCTTAGGTTATTTGTTGTAAATGTTTGTATGTTTTTAAACATTTATATTATGTTTGTGGTTTAGATGGATGTTAAAATTTGTAACTGAATGCTGCTTGTGTTATGTATTACTTTTATTTTTATTGTTTTTGTGTACGGATTTGTAACAAAATTTTGTTATTTTTATTAGATTTTTTCTGCAATTTAAGCAGAAAAAATTGGTTTTTTTATATATATTTAATTTTTATAGCTTCCTCGGAAAGTCATAGGAACTTTCTGTCACGAAAAGTGTCACCAAAACTGTCACCAAAAACTGTAAAAAAAGTACGGTCCTAGGAAATTTCTCGGAACATTTCCTAAGAAATTTCTCGGAAATATATATATTTCCTAGGAAATTTCTTGGAAATGTATATCCTAGAAAATTCCTCGGAAAATTATTTCCTAAGAAATTCCTCGGAAATATATTTCCTAGGAAACTTCTCGGAAAAATAGTCTCGGAAATTCCTCGGAACTACCAACAAACGTATCTCCTCGGAAATGCCTCGCAAATTTCCTCGAAAATCCCTTACAAAAGGTTTCCTAGGAGGGTTTTACCTACGCACAACTTTTCCTTGGTATTTCCTTGGAAACGCCGTTTTCCTAGGAATTTCCGAGGAAATTGTCCCTCGGAAAAGACGTGTTTTTTAGTAGTGAATAAAAGTATTGGAATTGAAGTCAGGGTTAAGAAAATACCTCTAAAGAATTTATCAAAAATATAAACTTCGAAGAGGGTGAAGACTTTCTTTGTAGTATCATACCCGTAAACAAACACGCCTCCGGCAACGACGACCGACAGCCCATGCCGTCGCACCACCACCAACAACGACAATGATTTAGGGTTCAATCGATATTCAATGATTGAGGAATAACCTGTAGTCCTTCCAACCTAGGAGAGTTGCGAGTGGAAGAAGTCGAGAGAATAGTGGGGATGGACGAAAACATCTACATGCATCTACAGGCCTGAGGTTGGAACGGTGGGAAGCATCAAGAACCGGAATCAGGAAAGAGGAAGCGAATATGTGGAGCCCTAACCTAATAGAAAATATGTGGAAGGAACTGAATTGGGTATATCGATGAAGAGGAAGGAAGCGGTAGATACCGACTAATTACGTTGTTATCGGCTAAACCGACGGTGGAAGCAGGGAAGGAGAGAACACGTTGTTACTGTCACCCTAACACTAACACGTAGCAATTGTGAACAGTGGCTGTGACCAAAAGGAAACCCAAAAAAAAAAAATCAGCCAATCACAATGAGGTACTGCTCACCAACGAGTTTAGAATTAATATGTATATAAATAATAATAAAGAGCTCATATCTTGATATTCTAAACATACACCGACCAAAAACATAAAGAAGAAAACAAAAATGATGCAATTAAAGAACTTACTAAATGTTTAGTGGCGTATACTTGTGAAATCGAAATAGGTATGATTTCGAAGTCTCCTGTTGTGGTGGCAATCGAGAAACCAGTCGTGGCGATTGCGAAACCGGTGGTGGCTGATGATGGTGTGGCAGAATTAGGGATTTTTGTGGTGATGAAAGTGACGGACAATTGATCGGCAATGGTCAATGGTGATTGTGCGGCGATAGTGATAACCTGACGAGTCGAAGAGGAAAAGAAGGAAGTAAAGAATGTGGTTGAGAAGAAGCAGATGAAGCTCAAAGGGGATTCTGATTATGATTGCAATTACTACAATGGATTGAATCACTTAGCAAAGGACTGTATGTTGCGAAAGAAGGAGGAGAAGAAGGAGAGAGTGAAGGACAAAGCATACTGTGCATGAAATGTTGAGGAGATAAAAGCTCGAACCAAAGGAGTCACTTTGATGGCTAGAGGAGGAGATGAGGACGAAGGCACATATCAGATTTGGTCTTTGGGGTCTGATGATGAAGAGATGCAAAATCCTGCGCATGGAGCTATGTATGCACAGTTCGAAGAAGGTGATTTTGAAGAGGAGAAGATCTCAGGAAGTTGTTTTGTTTCTACAAGTGCTGACAAATCGCCAATGACAACAAAGGTACATAATCTTCTTGAATCTCTTAAAATTCCTTCGAATACTTATCATGCATTTTTAACAGATTTTGATGATATTTTTTCTTATCTTAATGATATGTTGATTTCTATGAGTAGAGAAGTTGAACAATCGAAATCATTTCTATATGATGTTCGAAATAAATTGGAAGTTAAGAAGAGTGTTATTGAGAGTTTAGAGCTTCAATTAAGCAATGTTACTAGTGATAGAGATTATGTTAGGACTGATAAGATGTTGTTAGTTAAACAGATGAATATTTACTATAATTCTGCCAAACGTTTGTATGCTAAATTGACTTAGTTGCATCATTCATCTGACATACGCAAAGAACAACATCGAAAGTTGCTTCCTTTCTTAGCTTATAAGAAAAAAAAAAGGTAGATGAAACTTCTTATGATTGTGAAAAGAAAATATATTAGTATGATAATGTTCCTAATGATTCATATGCATATGGAATTGTTAAAATTGACGAATGCTTAAATGTTGATGATCTTGTGCATATTTTTAATGAAACTCTAACAAAAAATGAACAAGTAAAAATTTTGAACAAGACTGAGAAATCGACATCTGATTCTCAACAAAATTTTGCTGATATCGAAGATGATTCTGATAATATCAGTGAAATTGAGGCCGACGAAAGTGTTGATTGTTCTTAATTATCTGTTATTAATGTCAATTCGATGGCTAAAGGCAAAGAAATATGTAATGATTCAATGTCGAAGGTTAACAATGATGAACCTTCTACATCCAAAGTCAGTGATCCTCTTGATCATGTTGTGGTAGAAGATTATGTGAGCGATGAGGATGATGTTTCGAATGAAACACCTATTGTAACACCCATAAAAATCACAAGAAATTTAAACTTTTAAAACCAATCCAAATTCCCAAATTGTTTACAAACATAGTCTTCAAAACATTTTAAAACATTAGAATCTCCCAAAATCACAGTCATAAACAAGAGGATGTGTATGGTCACACCTTCACCGTCCCCCGGTCATCCGAAGTACCTGAAACATAACCTAGAACCGTAAGCCAACGCTGAATTAGATCCCTCAAAGTACCAACACATAAACAGATAACATATACAATAACAGCATGTCGGGTCCAATCAACCATCAGGTTGGAATACCCCCAGGTCCAATCAACCAACGGGTTAGAATGCCAATATACTATGGGTCCACTCAACCATCGGGTTGGAATGCTAATATACAACGGGTCCTATCATCCTCTGGATAGAATACCCTCGTGCCCAATCAACCATCGGGTTGGTATGCCCTCGGCGTGTTGGCTCACGCACAAAGCAGAAAGCCTCAACCACCAACCAAATATGTACACATATAACATGTAATCATATAAATAGACTACAGATAGTCAGACAGATCTACAAATCACTAAGCATAACATTATCCTATATACCAGGATACCGATCTAACAAATCACTACAACATGATAACATACATAACATGATATCAAATCCAAAGGTCCGACCTTGGTGCCTTCGACCCGTAAGTACAGTGAGGAAAACTCATCTCAGAAGCTGAACACTAGCTGATGAGGTCCTGACTCCGAATCTCAACTCAAACCGACACCTAATCATCAGAATGACCCAAATATCAACATAATCCGGATACCCAAAATATCCTTAAGTCAAACTTGGTCCAACTTGGTCAAAGTCAACCTCATGTCGTGGTCAGGTATTGGTCACGTCGTGACAACGAACCAGATCCTATTCCTACTCGACTCGACCCAACTAGTCAACTCAGTCAAAGAAAACCACCTGAACAGGTCATCATGATGTGAGCACCCATTCTCACGTTATGAGCTCCAAGGTTTCTAACAGAAGGCGGGGATGCTCCGAATCTTATGTCGTGAGATCTTACATCTCACGTCGTGAGCGTTGTCTGTGGCTAAGGGTCATCATTTTAAGTCCTTATTCCATTAAGTCTTTGAGTCCACTTCATCCAGAAGTTAAAAGGACCCCTAAGGTCCATAAAAATGTTTCCTTTATGGCCATGCATGCACCAAACATGATCATCCATTTCTAGGTCAAGAAGGGAAATGAATAAGCTTCATTCTTTCATGCATGACTTAACTCCCTACCAACTTGCACATCTGGACAATATAATGCATTAGGGACTCTTAGAATCCATAAAGTTGCAAACTTTATGGATTTACTCCATTCAAGAATGCAATAACATCAATAAGATGGACAAAACTCAAGATCTATCCATGATAAGCAATAAAGTTGGAGCCTTTGATATTTACAAGGATCCAAAAGCAGGAAAAGATGATGATGCTGATTCTTTGCCCACACCACCACTAGAGCACTTCCTTCTTCTTCTTTTCTTCTTCTTTAAGCTAAAAATGCACCCAAATGACAAAGGATCTTAGGGAGGGTTAAGATTAGGGTTTCTGGAGGTTTAGAGAGTAGGAGAGGCTGAGGGTGAGAAACCCTAACCCTCTCATTCCCTTAAATACCGAAAACTTATGGCTTTTAGTCATCAGCCACCCTAACCTCGTGAGCACTAGACTGCTCACGTGTCGAGAGCATGGAAAATTTTGAAACTTTTAACTTCACAATATTAAAGATAATGTGTACCTGATCCGGGTGTTACGATTCTCCATCACTTGAATCAGACTTCGTCCTCGAAGTCAACTGCTGCGAACAACTCCGGGTAATGCTCCCCCATCTCAGCCTCTGGCCAGGTCCACTCGGAGCCTCTCCGATGTTGCCACTGCACATTTACCAAAGGTATTTCCTTGTTGCACAGTACCTTCATCTTCTTTTCCAGGATATCCAATGGTCTCTCGACATAGTTCGGGCGCTCATCGACCTGAATATCATCCCACGGTACCAGTACCTCACTATCCAACATACACTTCCGCAACTGATAGACATGGGAAGTGTTGTGGATCTGACTGAGCTCGCTCGAAAAATCCAACCTGTAAGCTACCTTGCCAACCCTAGCAATCACCCAAACAGGTCCAATAAACCGGGAACCCAACTTCTCCCTCATCCTGAAGCGTATCACACCCTTCCAAGGTGAGACATTCAAGAGTACCATATCGTCGACCTGAAATTCCAACTC